AATTTTTGATTTGCAAGAATCCATTCGCGCTAAGCAGCCATCTAGCACCAGCGTACTTGCTGTACGGGTCCTTGTTAATGGCTCCGTCATTCGCTGCATCGCAGTATAGTAACTGAGCCCACTTTCGTTAGGCATAAGGTCATAGAACAAAATGCGAGCGAAACCGGTTTCTTCAACCAGCCTTGAGTACCATGGCACATAAACATCCTGTTTGTGCTGATGTGTGGCGTCTGCCAAGAGGACATCGCCGAAGCGGTTACAAAATGGGATAACGCCTCGCCGTACGAAAAATCCACCACGCACCTTACTTTCATTGTAAACTATATCCTTCATCCCTTCTCCATGCAGCAGCCACCTTATCCTACCGGCCTCGTTTCCAGGCTCCATATTGGCGCGCCAGTTACTTATAGACGTGACGTGTGCATGTTCCAACCGCACTTGGAAGGTAAAAAGTAAAATCTATTATCGCACACGTAATCATAAAACACTGCATAAACTCAAAAAGTTGCTCCTCATCCTTCTGTGAGAGCCTGGGAGTACGCACGTCTACTCATAGCTTGCCCGCTTGAAACTCATGGATGTACATCATAGGGTAGTCGGTGATACGAACCATCAACAACGCGACACGTGACATAAGCCACACAAATGCAGCCTCGGTAAATAAATGGACAGCGTTAGCAGGATAAGTGAAATGACTTACCAGGTGCCTTCACCACGTTTTTGGTGGGCATGAACACATACGTGGTTCACTTACATATAAGCCATCCCCTTGGTAGCGCAATGTGACTATTTTGGCGGCATCGACCGACAGGTATGGAATTGTACGTTGATCTGTCGACAAGTCTTCCCTGGACGCTTCAATTGTTCTTACTCCGTCTTCATTGGCTGTTTACATAAGTGCTTGTTCCCCACCGAACGAGGTGTTACTGACGTTAAGCTATTGCAGCTTAAATACAACCCCAGTCCATCAAAGCCGACCTGTTGGCGAAAGTGGAACGCGTAACCTCCATAGCGCTGGCAAACCCGGTGGGACACCATATCGCTCTCCCTTATAAACGGATCGAAATACTCGTCAATTAAAACAACCATTGCACAAATTTCTATTTAATAGTTCTTTTCACCGTTTCTATCAGGTGTCAAACACGCTGCTTACGACTTAAACGTTTACTGAGGTACAAATGTTAGTGTCCAGCCGCATCTTCCGCTGGCCGATAGACTGAAGCTGCTAGGCCCTCAAGTACCTCAAAAGCAGACGAGTGGCCGGTAGACTAAGTTTCCGGTTAGTGGGTTTTCGGGTAGTCAACCAGCGGTCCATTTTCGCCCTACCACTGCCAACTCCGTTAGCGCACGACCCAGGCCTGGATCTAACGAATATCTTCGGATAGTGCTAAGTAATATGCGCAGCCAAAGGAATAAGGTGTACGAGTTAGGTCTGCTTCTAGACGGGTCTCATCCCGCTATACTCAAATTCACTGAGATATGGCTATCTCAGGACATCATGATGGGTGAAGTATATCTATCTGGCTCCCCACTGTTTTGATGTGATCGCTCCGCTTGTCGGCGTGGAGGGGCGTTGCTCTTTATGTGAGCTGTATATTTGACCTTTTGCAGACTTGCTTATTTCAGTCCGCAGGCAAAACCGCTGAAGATCTGTCGGCTATGGTTAGCACATCCTCGGCGCCAGTTACAGTTGTACTTGTGTAGAAAAGCCCTTGGGAGCGTGACGAAGGGGTAGTTGACTTCATTCTCTCCCACACCGCAAACAAGTGTTTGGTGATGGGCGACTTCAACCACTCAGAGGTTTGCTGGGCAGATCTTTCTTGCGACCCAGCGTCAGGCACTTTCAGCACTGATCTGCCTGAGCTTACACTTTAAGTATCCTTGCATCAGTTCATTGAACGCCACACTGGGTACACGGACGCCAAAATACCGTCTATCTTAGACCTGGTATTGCTGTCACTCACTTTTGTTGATGATATTACTTACGGATCTCCGCTGGGTTCCAGTGAGCATGGTTGTTTGCTCTTCAGTTGTACTGTCTAGTCGCTACCAGAGTACTGTCGGGTCTTGCTCAAATCTTTGACGCGCAGGCTAGCAACTAATGAGAGCCAAGGCTTTGGGTGTCCATTGTGCGAAACTCAGACGAAGATACTGTTCAGTGTGCGCATGGTAAATTTAAGCCCTACCTCACGGAGGTATCTGCTGCCTTCATACCAGTCTTAAGGAGAAAGTGGGCACGAGCACAGCCGCCCTGGATAAATTCCACTGGCAGGCATCTGCTCACAAATAGGTCTAGATGTTGAAGGACTTACAGAGATGCTCGGTCCACCGATAATTATAACGAGTACCGTAAGGCTAGAAATAGGTGTAAACGCCACCTAAGGGATGCTCGGCTCAATTTCGAGAAGGGGTTAGCAGACGAAGCTACAGAAAATCCAAAAAGACTCTCCGCATAGGTCAACAGGCGCTACGGTTCGGACAGGCCACTTCCGTTATTGATGCTTGATGAGAGTAATCAGACGCATACGGACTATGACAAGTCCTTCGTACTTAGTGGGCACTACGCGACAGGATTTGTAAGGGAAGCATCTTTGACTGACGTTAATCTGGTTTGCAGGATCCCACAGGGTTCAGGCCTAACTGAATTTAATGTAGCGGATAAGGACGTTCGTGGGCTGTTACAAGGGCTGAACTCTTCTAAGGCCTCTGGGCCTGATTTAATGCACCAGAAACTGTTGCAGGAGTTAGCTGCGGAACTAAGTGAAACTCCCGCCATGGTGTTACAGTAATCGCTTGACAGCTGCGCATTACTTTTCGAATGGAAGGAAGCTGACATCTGTCTCACCTTCAAAAATGGGGCGGGGGTATGCCTGCAACTTACAGGCCAGTTGGGCAGACGAGTGTAGTAGTCAAACTCCTCGAGAAACTGGTAGGAGGTTCATTGAAGTCATCTGCCTAGATTTCATCTCGTTAGCAATGTACAACACGGATTCCGGAAGGGCTCTTCGTTTCTGACGAAGCAACTGGTGTCTCGAGAAAGTCGGGAGGATGCAGTGGATAACTTCCACACAATGGACACGCTTTTCGTTAACTTTTCGAAGTCATTTGGCAAGGTACCATTTGAGGCTCGAACAAATACTAACCTACTGCGGCGTACCTGGCCGCGCCCTACTTTGTGTGGCTGCCTTTTTGGATAGTGGAGAACAGTGTGTACGGGTAGGTGGGGGCCTATCGTGTAGGCAGTCTGTCCTCAGTGGCGTGCCATCGGGTTCTGCCCTTGGACTGTTGCTGTTCTCCATCTATATGAATGACCTACCCGTGGAGCCTGAGGTACCATCTCTGCTATTTGCTGATGATCTGAAGCTGTGGAACATTGTCGAGGTTTCTGGGATTCCGAAACTTTTCAGCGAGCATTGGTTAAGCTTTGGGACTGGGCTAATTTATGGTTACTGCCCATAAGTAGGGCAAAGTGCTCCGCTGTTCGAATTGGAGGAGGTTGTCCTCTTACGAAGTACATGGTCGCTGGGGTAGAACTCTTCCGAGTATATAACCATGTTGACCTAGACCTCATACACCCTTAGGCTTTACACTCCGGCGACAAATGGAAGAAGGCCACAAGCGGACGTTTCCGGGGGTTGTGGTTGATACGACGTTTATTCGGAGTCTTGAAGGGCGGGCATCTTTATGAGACTGCTCTCGGCTTTCGTTCATCCTTACCTGGAATACTGCGACCAGGAATGTCCGCCCTGCTTCGTCCGGACAAAATGGAGCTGGGGAGAGTTTTACGAGTGCGTATTAGGTTAGTCTAGGGACTACGGGGACGGACGTACCCCGAGCGTCCACCGACATTAGGAATGCATTCAATGCACTACCAAAGGCTTAAAAGAGACCTTATCCTAACATACTGTAACTTAACTGGGAAGGTCGGCCCAGGTTTAACTTGGCCATTCCGTCCCGCTAGGTTGTCTTTACTACGCGGTCATTCCTCGAAGCTGGACAAACCGCGGTCCGATCGGATAAGGGCGATAAGCCTGCTGTCGCGCAGGGTCTCCGAGCGCTGGCGCATGCTTTCGGAAGGCGTTATCAGAGGATCTACGGTTAAGGGGTTTGAGCGGCAACCTGACCCACTTGGGTGGCAACCTTTCCATTTTCCCGAGTAACTCGCATCTCCTTACTTACATTTTCTTTTCTCTACTTTTCTTCACGCGTTGGTATTATTTTCCTATTTCAAGTGCACTTCCCTATTCTGTACCTTCGATTTATATTCCTATCCTTTACTTTCTTCAGGTGACTGCCACAGCAGCGCCTGCTATGGCGGGAAATGTGGGCATTAACTAGTTGGCCAGGATGCGATACGGGTGTTCCGATTTAGATCCATCAATAACTCTGAGCACTTCATCAATTCCTTGCTCAACGATCCACTCAAGAGGGAACACACAGGATTCTCCTATCGTTCCAGTCCCATCCAAATTTGAACTTTACCTAGAACTTTGCTATTTTCTCGTTAGTTTACGCGTCACAGTCGGCATATGAATTGTAACAACTGAATACACAAGCTACGCTAATGCAACGTCAGTAGGCCTCATACTACCTTAAACATGTGGTAGCGGATCACCTGTAAGAGTTTGATTCATCAACTTTTAAAGCTTGAATATCTGCTAATTTACCTGGCAATGGGTCGGTATTCATCTGAGCATTTCTTTGGCACCGGTATATTGCTTACACTCCTCTAGCAGTCAGCGATAGTACTGTTTCATGTACAACGTGTATAGGTCAGCAAGATGCTGGGCAAAGGAACCGCCACACACTGAGGACAATGGGTGATGGTCTGTCCGAACCAATTGCTTTGTTGTAGTTCAGGTGTAGTAGTTTATTGCCCACTGTTCACAGACACATTTAAGGGAACTGAGGAGGCTAAAGAATGCATTCCATTAATTTCTTTGTCATATATTTTGAATTAAGTGATCCATAATGGATTAGGTTCTACTGCGCTGCTAATCGCAGTCGTACTAAGTTTATCTGCTCCCCTGTCCAGTTCTTCACGCGCTCAGCTGTGGCCTCAGGGCCGCCAGCAAGACATGTATCCGGGTAGACTCTCTGATGGCAGTGCCCGAGAGCAAAAAACGCAGCAAATAAAGAGCTGGGCCGGGTCGGAAACTGACCGGGCATCCTCGGAATATCGTCCGGCTAAAAAGATTAAATTTCCACTGGGCGTTGCTTTAATTGCGGCCTGCTACGCCAACGACCAAGAGGAATTTAAACGCATTCTCTCACTAGGGATAGATATAAACACAAGAAATCCTGATGGTTTAACATGTGTTCATCAGGTTTGTCTTTGGAATGCCATTTTACTGCGATTTGTAGTGTTGCATTAACGGTGACTATGAATTTCTGGAATTTCTCATCAAAGAAGGGGCTAATATCAACATTCAGGATAACGAAGGCTGGACTCCACTTCATGCCGCTGCGTCAGTTGGGTGTGAAGAACTTGTTAGGTTGGTTATATCCTCCATCAAATTCTCTTCACATGTCTCCACTTTTTGGTCTTAAATGGGATGTTCGCCTCGCTCTTACATCCTCTTGTGGCCTATTGGCTTCCACTGCTTCCACTCCAATCTGTAGTGTGGCATCCGTTCTCTTTGTTTACCCTACCAATATGATCGTTTTCACTATATCTCAAGATAGGCTCCATCATAAATAAGTGCCCGATTTTCGTACGCATGACTGGGTTAAAGCGCCCTGCGTTACCGTTTGTATCCTTGGCCGTCCCAGTGAGATGTATCTGGAACGGTCTTTGTTTGCTCAGATGAAAACAATTTCAAGTCCAAGTGGGACTGGAATGATAGGATTATCCCGTGTGTTCATTGAGTTCCTTGACTGGTTAAGCGCAGAAGGGAGGTCCAGTGTCAGCTCCTTCACTTCTCGATCTTCCAAGGATTGCAGGTCTAGTAGCTGTCATAGCTCAGGAGGTGTCAGTCCTGCAGGATCCTGGTGTACTCAGTAGGAAGATGTCTAGCAAACGTTTGAAACTCGTTTCTGACTGCGCATTGACCATCGGGTCCTGCAATCGGTTCCAGTCATTAATTACTCGAGTAGAGAGAGAGCAACATCTGAGTGGACTTTGAACCTCTTCGGTTTAAACAGCCTCCAGCTGTGACATCGAGTCGAACTGCCAATTCTTAGCTGAAAAACTGCCTCAGCTCGTTTCCCCGTTCTCCTCATAGGATACGCCTAGTATGGATGAGGTCTCCACGACGTCGGTGATAGTCTAAGCGTAAAAGGTTCATGCTCTGTAGTCGGACGAGGCACGGGAGTTCGCGTAGCCCAAGGACAAATTTCGATGCACGTCGCTGAATTTTTTCTATCTTGTTACTTTTATGTTTCGATAGAAGGGCTATGGTCGGAAGTCCGAATTCAAGGATGGGACAGATGTGGGAGAAAAAGAGAAGTCTAAATATCTGCGGTGTCATTTTAGAGAATGATCTCCTTCTGACGCCCCGCATCCTGTTCGCCGCAGGTTTTCTTTAATGTGTCAAGCGTAGTTTTGAGATCAGAGGATACTATTGTCCCCAGGTACTTTTCTCTTGTGGCAATCTTGAGTAGGTGCCCGCCGATGTGACAGATACCCAGTGATACAGCAGCACCTATGGAAAGGACAGAGCACATCTTTGCTGGCCGGCAAACCCCACTTGCTAGACCAAAAGTGTAGTAGATCGAGCATTTCCTGTAATCGGTCGGCGTCTTCGAGGCTGAACACTTCTGACCATAGTTTGAGGTCGTCTGCATAGATCAGACAGTCCGTTTGCAGCATACTTGGTAGGTCATTGATATATATCTTGAACAATTCCGGTCCGAGAACGGAGCCTTGTGGTGCGCCACTGTACGTAGGCACTGGAAATGAAAGGGTATCGTTTACTTTGACTTGCATGTTCCGGCCTTGCAACAAGTCACTGATCCATAGTAGGAGGTTCCCTGTTATGCCAATTCTGCAGAGCTTAGAGAGTAGTTCCTAATGAGGGATTCTGTCAAAAGCTTTGCTGAAGTCGATGAAGACCACATCTACACATTTTCCAGCGTCCATTGATTTAGCCCACTTCTCTCTAGCGACCAGCAGGTTAGTGATGCAGGAATGTCCCTTTCGGAAGCCATGCTGAGTAGATGAACTGAAGTTCAGGTCTTCGCAGGGTCGGTGGATGGTACATTTAATGAGCTTTTCCATGATCTTGCAGGCGACCGACGTCAAGCAAATTGGCCGATAGTTCGCAGGATCCTGGCGGTTTCCACCCTTGTATTTCGGCATAACTACACCCGTCTTCCAATCGACTGGTAGTCGACCAGCTTTAAAAGAGAGCTGAAAAATTTGACAAAGTGGGACGGCAATGAATTCTGCTGCCATCTTGAGAAACTGGGGGTCGTCTGGGCCTGGTGAGGAAGATGAGTTCAGTTCTAGTGGTAGCTTCAAGGTAGCACCTGCATCGATATCGATATGTCCCAGAGGTACTGTATGTGCAGTTACATGTGGGTTTTGGAGTTTGTCTCCCTTCGTATATACTGAGGAGAACTGTAGAGTCAAGAGGTCAGCTTTGGCGTCATCATCATATTATATTATACCTGGCTCATTAGTAGACAATGCAGGAATTCCACAGACCGCCTAGGAAGATCTGTTAAGGTATGAAAATACTTTTTTGGCCTAGAAAGGGATTGTTCGGCCAGGCTATCCTCGTATCGTTGTCTCTTTTCACGTTACTGCAGGGAGCAGAAGTTCCTGATGCCCTTGTGTTTAGAGTAGTCTGAATCTAAGCGAGAAACTTTGAATCTGCCCCATAGTTCTCGTCCTTGTTTCATGTTGGCCCTGAGTTCTCGGTCGATCCAGGTGGGAATCTTAGAGAGAGCCCTGTTACTGTGGAATAGAACGATCTCAATGAGTGGCTTCCACTTGTAGAGTAGATCGTTCCAAGCAGCATCGAGTTCCAAGTGTTGTGGAACATTCCAGTCCAGCGTACTTGCTGCCGCCCTTAGTTTGATTGCGTCGGTCCGCCAGAAGTTTCGACGGTTTGTGCTCCGGGCTCGGATAGCTAGACGTTTAGTCCATAAGGAGATTGTACAATGGTCGCTTTTACCTATGGGCTGTAGAAGGGTCAATTCTGAGACAGAGCCGCAGTGAGCACAAGATCAAGAGTGTGCGGAGTCTGGCCGGGAAGAAGCCGAGTCGGCGTTGTTATATACTGGGAGAGGTTCGTTTTGAGGACAGTTTCAAGGAGGCTAGCGGGTCGTTAAACCAGTAGATGGCAGACTTTGAAATACTGATGGACCTAAACCAAAGACCGCATCACACCCTGTCCAACCAATTAATGCTCACATATCCTGCCCTAGCAGCCCCTGCTGGGTCGGTTACGTGAAGGTACATGAGAAATCAGCAGCCTTCAATTTTAGATCCTGTTTTTGCTAAGTCACGACTTAGTAAATAACATAAATTACGATTCGTCTCTTGGCGCCAGCGATCAGGTTTGCTTGTTTTTCCAGTTTACCCTTATCAAGCCTTGCCAAGCTACTACCAGTTGGTATCCGAACATTTCGGCCGCGGACTTCCAAGTGATGCGGGATAAAGCTAGGTCCTCGCCTTTTGTGATATCTGGGACAGACACTCTTCACATAGCCTGGGAAAATCTTAAGGCTCACCTCATGGACATTTTTGCTCCTCATATCCCACTGGTAAAAAGAAGGGAATCGAGAGCGCAGCCTCCGTGGATATATTCCGCGAGAAAGGGCCTGGTAAAGAAGCGGTCTAGATCCTGGCGAGCCTATCGAACAGCTCCGAATAACGTTTGACAAGTATCGGTTGGTTCGAAATGAGTGCAAGTTACATCTTAGATTGGCCCGGCTTCAGTACCAAAAGGACTTTGCTGATACTGCCTCGACAAATCCCAAGCAATTCTTCGCTTACGTTAAACGATGCTGTGGTGCAAACTCGCCCATACCACCATTGCTTCGAGATAAGACTTATGCCTTTAGTGACTATGACAAGACATACGTGCTTGCTGATCAGTACTCAAGCGTCTTTGTCCGTGAAACTAATACTCCATGCAGAGAACCAGCTTCAAGAGTCTCTGAGGACTCTTGTCTGGATGAAATTCCTGTAACTGAGTCTCAAGTTCTCCGGTTGCTGAGAGAGCTGAACCCAACTAAGGTTTCCGGGCCAGATTCTGTTCATCCAAAATTGTTGCACGAATTGGCAGTGGAATTCAGTGGACCTCTGACTTGTGTATTTCAGAAGTTACTCAACAGCTGTGTCTTAGCTACCGAATGGAAGGAGGCTGTTTTCTGCCCGATTTTCAAGTGCGGCGACAAAGACCTACCGGCTAATTATAGGCATGTCAGCTTGAGGACAAACGCCTACTTAGTTTGGGGATGCATTCAATGCACTATCGAAGCATTAGAGGGGACTTAATCCTAACCTACCGTATTTTGACTGGGAAGGCTGTGCCTGATTTGTCCTGGCTGTTTAGTCCTGCTAGATTATCTGGTCTCCGCGAGCATTGTATAAAGGTGGACAAACCGCGGTCCGATCGTCTTAGAGTGGCGACATGGTTATCGCGTCGAGTCATCGAGCGCTGGAACTTCCTTCCAGAGAATGTTGTCAAGGAAGTTACGGTTAAGGGGTTTGAGCGTCAACTAGATGCTCTTGGGTGGTAACACGAAACCTTTCCTTTTTCCTGACTAATTCCTATCTTCATACTTCGATTCTCTTTTCTGCACTTTCCCTCACTATTGGTATTATTCTCTACTTTTAACTGATTTCCCTTAATCTTTCCCTTCGATTTTCCTTCCCCTCTCACTTCACGTAACTGGCATAGCAGGGGCAGCTAATGTAAGGAAGGTAGGCATTAAGTCGGTGGACCAGGGTGTTTTTCGGGTGTTTCCGTTCTAGATCCCTCAAAAACTCGGAGCACCCCTATCAACTGGATCAACGACCCGCTCAAGAAAGAACACTTACGGGATTCATCCTATCGTTCCAGTCCCACCTGAACTTGAAGAAAGATAAAAAAGTAAACTCAGAAGGCAAGAAGAGGAAGTGGAAAGAGCTAAGCAAGTAGAATATCATGATATTTGAGTCTTTAAAAAGAACTGAAAAGTGAAGGTGAGTCAGGAAAAAGGAAAGATTTGGTGTTGCCACCTAAGAGCATCGAGCTGGCGCGCAAAACCCTTAACCTTAGGTTCCCTAACTACATGATCTGGAAGCGAATTCCAGCGATCTATAACCGCGCGACAGACGAGTTTCCGTCCTAATCCTATCAGACCGTGGTTTATGCAGTTGCAGTGGGTGACCGCAGAGATTAGGTAACGTAGTGGGACTAAATAGCTCTGACAGGTCCGGCCCGATCTTACCCGTCAAAATAGGATAAGTAAGAATCAGGTCTCCTCTTATCCTTCTGTGGTGCATGGAGTACATCCCCAAACTAAGGAAGCGTTCAGGATACGTCTGTCCCCGTATACC